GGTGGGGGTGACTTGTCAGGTGACCGTGGGTACGTTAGCTGTTTATTGCTATTATTTATTTTACGTACAACTTATTGTTACTTACTGCCACATAACAAATTAAAGTATAATAGCTTAAAACGACACGTCACACGGTTTCTGAGAGACAGGAGTCCAGGAGCTGCTCAGCCGGGTGGTTCTGGCTCAGGATCTCTCATTAAGTTGTTGTCAAGATGTGGAAAGTGGCTGGGATCTCACCCGAAGCCTCGAGGGGCTGGAGAACCTACTTCTAAACTCACTCTCACTCAGGTCCACACTGTGTCGGCCTCTCCACGCTAAAGGACAGCTGGCCTCCCCTAGAGTGAATATGACAGACACAGAACAAGACGTACCTGCAGCCTAACCTTAAAGAGACATCCCATCACTTCTGCAGGACCTTACTGGTCACATTCACAAGGCTGCAAACCGGGAGGGGACCACTGGTGGCCTTCCAGGAAGTGGTCGACTCCAAGGCCTTTTTCCTTGACCACGGTACATCCCAGGATGGATGCAGTCTGGGGAGCAGAGACAGAGAAGGCAGACACAGCTGTGGGAACTCTCAGCTCAGCTTTCCCCTCTGGAAAGGAGCAGGTCCTGGAGTCAGAGTGAGGCAGAGCTTGCCAGGTGATGATGGGATGAGGCTGCCGGGGCCTGGAGACGATCAGGGCGGCCACTGCAGCTTCGGCGCCAGAGCTAAGGCCTTACCTCTCACAAATCAGGGCTCCAAGCAGCCCAGCCCCTCCCCTACTCTGAATTTCCAACTGACTGCAGTTTCATGGACCTATTCTTCTGTCACCATAGGGACTGATTCTCCAAATTCCCAAAACCTAGGATTTGCTGTCATCGATTGGTCCCCCAGCTCTGGCCCCACAGGCAGAAGGGACCCAGACAAACAGGGCTCCCACGCCCACAGAGGCAGGCAATTCTGCTGACCGTGCATATGGATTCAGCACACATTTATTGACCCTTGATCCTTGCCAGGAACTGGGCTGGAAGGAAACGCAGATACTGAATGAGACTCTGCCTGCTTAGGGAAGGGAACCGACCCAGGAGGAGGAGGTCCGGACCCCTCCCCCACTCCTACCACACAGCCTGGCCAGGAGATGGTGCTTCCTAAGTGTCTGCAAGACAAACGCTGAGACCGAAATAGCTGGCTGGGTGGGTAGGAGGCTGGAGTCAAAGGAATAACCAAGAGCCCATCTGGGGGCTGGGGAGGGGGGTGGGGGGTGGGGGTGGAAGGGGCAGAAACGGGTGGAAGAGTGGGGAGCGTGGGAAGGAGAACCCCTGATGGAGGGAAGGATTACTGCAAACCTGGGGCCATAACTCCTCCCACTGAGGCCTTGTAGAAACTGCTGGAGGGGGTCTGCTGGACTGGGCTGGTGTCCAGGCTGGGCGTGGGGAGGGGTGGGATGCTCTCCACAGCTGGAGGCAAGGATGCTGTTCCTGAAAACCAGGTGCCCTCAGCTGCTGAGAAGGGGCAGGCTGCTGGGGAGGGGGCCAGCTTCAGCCTGAGCTGTGCTTGCTCAGACCTCCCGAATCTAAGCAAGAATGACACCCCTCTCAGCTATAAAAAAGAATGAGACCTTGCCATTTGTGACAACACAGATAGACCCAGAAGGTATTGTGCTAAGTGAAATGAGTCAGACAGAAAAAGATAAATTCCATGTGCTTTCACTTGCAGGTGGAATCTAAAAAACAAGACAAATGATCAAAAAATAGACTCTTGGGGCACCTGGCTGACTTAATCGGAGCACGCTACTCTTGATCTCGGGGTTGTGAGTTCAAACCCCGTATTTGGTGTAGAGATTACTTAAAAAATAAAATCTTTTATTTTTTTTTTTTTAATTTTTTTTTTCAACGTTTTATTTATTTTTGGGACAGAGAGAGACAGAGCATGAACCGGGGAGGGGCAGAGAGAGAGGGAGACACAGAATCGGAAACAGGCTCCAGGCTCTGAGCCATCAGCCCAGAGCCTGACGCGGGGCTCGAACCCACGGACCGTGAGATCGTGACCTGGCTGAAGTCGGACGCTCAACCGACTGTGCCACCCAGGCGCCCCAAAAAATAAAATCTTTAAAAAAACAGATTCAAATACAGAGAAACAAACTGGTGGTTGTCAGAGGGAAGGTGGGTGGGGGGCTATGTGAAACAGGCAATGGGGATTAAGAGGTACAAATTTCCAGTTATATAATAACTAAGTCACCGGGGTGCCTGGGTGGCTCAGTCGGTTAAGTGTCTGACTCTCATCAGTTCAGATCATGATCCTGCAGTTCGTGAGTTTGAGTCCCACATCGGGCTCTGCACCAACCATCAGGAGCCTGCTTTGGGATTCTCTCTTTCCCTCCATGTTTGCCCCTCCCCTGTTCACACTCTCTCTCAAAATAAGTAAAATAAACATTTAAATTTTTTTTAAAAATTGGGGCAGCTGGGTGGCTCAGTCAGTTAAGCATCTGACTCTTGGTTTCGGCTTAGGTCATGATCTCGTCGTTTCGTGGGTTCGAGCCCTGCATCGGGCTCTGCACTGGCAATGCAGAGCCTGCGGGGACTCTCTCCCTCTCTCTCTGCGCCTCCCCTGCTCTCTCTCTCTCCCAAAATAAATAAACTTCATAAATTAAAAAAAAAAATTCTTTTAAATAAAATAAATAAGTCACAATGAAAAGTACAGCACAGGGAATATGCTCAATAATACCGTAATAACTTTGTACCCTGACAGACGGTGGCTACTCCAATCACAGCGAGCACTGTATGGAATTGTTGAACCACTATGTTGTACCCCTGAAATTAATGTAACATTGTACATCACCTATACCTCAAAAATAACAAAAGACACTCTTCTCAAACTTCCTGACTCCATCCAAATTAATCAAGTCAGTATGAATTGGGCCATTCCAAGCAGCTGTGAGGACAAAGGTGGTTGACACAGACGTGGCCCTGGCCTCTGGAGCCCACGGAGACCGGCGGGAAAGTGGGGAGAGAATTCCAGCCAGGAGGCTGAGTTCAAAGACACAGAGATCAGAAGGGGCTTGCTTGGCTGAGGAACTGTGTGTGGTCCCTGACAGAGCCTGAGAGACCCTTGGAGGGTCCTCACTGCAAATCTCCCTTTGGCAACAGCGTTATTACCAGAAACAGGAAGTAAAAGTAGCATGGGGGTGCAGGTGGGGGTGGGAAGGACAGGGAGTAAGGCAGGCAGGAAATGGGACACCAGGGATCTGGTCTAGAGTTATCACTGCCCTTTTATGAGAGGAGGGAGAGCATGACAGCCCCAAGTTCCAGGTGATTTCCCCAGGTGGCTCTTTTTCATTTGGCCACACAGGTAGGGAGGACCCTCTCTTTCCTGCAGGGTGTGTGGGCCCCTGCTTTGTACAAACTCTACCCACCCTCCAGCCCTCCCCCCCACCAGGCTTCACATCCCCACCCCACCCCTCTTGTGCACTGAGGCCCTCCCTGAGCAACTGCTCTCCCCCAACCAAGCTGAGCTCCCTGCTCCAGCAATAGACCCTGGGCAGGTCTCTTGCCAAAGAGGGCTTCCCAGGCCTTGATCAACTGTTCTTTCCCCACAGCCCTGCCAGAGCTGCAGCTCCGAGACAGAGGGACTACTTTGAGGTTCCCCCAGGGCCAGGATCACTGAAATGTGTGTATCTCCAAGGCCCACGTGGCTGCCACCATCTAGCACCACTGACCCAGGTCCTGGACTCTCAGGGAGATGGGCAAAGCAGCCAGACGGCAGGGATGACAGGCTTGGTGGGGACTTGGAAGTCCCTGACAGGTGAGCATGGCTGAGTGTAGGAGAACCAGGTGATTCCTGCCTACGACACGGCCACGGAGGCCCCTGGAGGAGCAGCAGACTAACCTCTGTCAGTGACCCACCCTCTTTCTCCCTGAAGAGCCCTGGCCAAGCAGGAGGCAGGCAACCATCTGATGAACTCGGCTGCAGTTGGAAATGAATCTTGGCTCAGCCTCAGATGGGCTCAGAGTGAGACACTCCAGTCTCAGCTTATGTGGCTCAGAACACCCCCTCGTTGCACCTGGAGCACAGCCCCCTGCAGCAGCTCAGGAAGACCTGGGACCGCAGGACAGTGACTCCGGGGCTGATGTCCAATGCTGCCTAGTATCACTGCCTGGCACTGTATGGCTGACACAGTAGGTACTCAGGAAAAAGGCATGGGCAGGACCACCCTCCAGTCTTCTCCCACTAGCAGAGACCTCCCCTCCCAGGGCACACGTCAAGACTGGACTCTGGTGGGGGAGTACCCCTCCCCCTCCCACCGCTGGCACTAAGTGTTCTTTGCCAGTCTTGCCCCAGTTCCTTGTCCCCAAGACTCAGACACCCTCTCCTGGGCAGACGCTGCCCTGGGGCTGACTCAGTCCAGGGAGCTTTGTGTTGAAGGAACCAAGAGAACAAAGTAGGAAGTGGACCAGGCCAGTGCTGAAGCTTCAGGGCAAGCTTTCGGCTCTGGCCACAGCTCAGCTGCCCAAGACAAGTGTGTGACTATGTCTCCACCTTCCAAGGTCCACAGAAGTGGCAGTAGGGTAAAGTACCTTAAGAAAACAAAAACAAACAAACAAACATCTTGCCCAATGACGCTGCACAACTGCTTTCCCACGCTGGGATACATTCTGGGAAACGTGATGACTGTCACCTTCCCGCCTGAGCCTCCTGAGGGGCCTCTCCACCCCCCCCCCCA